GTGTCCACCTGCACGTTGAGGTCATCCACGGTGAGTGTGTTTGGAGAGATCTGCAACTCCTGCAAAAGTTGCCGCAGTGTCTGCGGCTCCCTCCCCTCCTGATGGGACACAATGTCATCGCCATTGTTGTTTGCCTTTGATACAATGAAGTTTAACAGATGCCGCGCCGTCATGCACGTCTCCACATGGATGTTATTGTCCACCTTTGTCGCCTGGTAAAAGTCACGGTTCTGTGAAGCTTTTTTTGCCGTTGTCCCTGCTTCAAGACTGCGGTTTACCGCGAGGTGCAGCATGAATTTGTGTTCAAGCAGGTTTAAGCGCCGTGTCGTGAAGTTACGCACATGAATGTTCTCCAAAATGAGCCGAAGCTCCTGTACATGCACACGGAAGTCATCGTAATGAAACATATCTTTTGGAAGTCGCGGGATTTGGTGCACCTCGTGTGGCACAAGAACCCCCTCGACCGTCTTAAACATCCATTCGTTCTCATCAAACGCTTCGTCACGGCGGAACGCATTCTCAATTTCGTGTGGGTTCAACATATCCTTCCCGTCCAGGACCTCCCCGAGACGGTTCAGGCCAACGTACTGAGCACGCAGTTCCAATGCGCGGTGCAGTAATTGTGTCGCCACCGTGTGAGAAGGATCGCGCTCCGGCGGTCCAACAAACACCACCCGCGGATACTCAATTCTCGGGTCCAACACGACAAAAGGCACCTGACTTGATAGTACATGATTTGACTGCACAATTGCGGTAGTAGTCACAGAACTCGTCGCAGAGTATTCTCCAGTAGAGGTAGAACAGTTCGCAGCAGTAATAACGGCAGCAACAGGCATCTGTGACGCCACAGTGGTGGTATCATCGACACGTGAATTTTGCTTTGCCGCCTCGGTAATGATATTCAGTTCCGTCTGCCACATGTCCTGCCGCAACTCCAGGCGTGCGGTCGGCACTTTGCTGTACTCAAAGATATTTCCTTTAGGTCCTTCCGTCAATAAGGCTTCGCCCAGCCACGCCGCCTTTGTGCCATATGGAAAGGACGATATCATCACGGAGTTAAGCGCAATCTCACAAATATCAATACCGGAAAGCTGATACAATCGACTCGCCGTACCATATTCCTCAATAAGTGGTTCTTTAGAAAGATGAAATAGCAACGGTCGATCAGTGGCAAGTGACACGTTCAGACCACGGCGAAAAAAAATATGAAATGGGTTTTGCATGTATGGAAGACCCAGACCGTTGTTGCTTAAAGGCGACATCACCATGCCGATACGCTGGATACCGTAGAGATACTGCAGCACAGGCTGGTGATCAAGAATAACACCGTTTGCCACACTATCACACAGAAGGTAGGAGTAAACAAGAACATCCATCTGACTACTACGTCCACCGGCAATGGCACGTAACTGCAGTGTGCCAAGTCCTTTGCGACGACGAAACGCGTTCAGGGAACAGAGATTCACCCAGATGTGGTACGCAAAGTAGAGATCACAGACATTCTCTGACCAGGAAACCTCCGCTGGCCGCCTCGCTTTCCTCTGAAACTCACTTTCACGCTCTTCCTCATCCGACACAATCACAAACCCACCAATACGAGACAAGAAAGATGCCACCTGCGTGTTTTTTGGATCCTCTGGTGCCAAAGTCGCCATAAAGAGCGGCAGAAAAAGATTCTCAAGATGCTGCTGGTAATGTTCGAGTGATTCACGCGTCGTCTCCTTCCGTATCTGTCGCCGAGGCAACGCAATGAGCCATTGATTGTTTTGCTGCTCGTCCAGCCCGTTATCGTGGATCCAGTTCGCCATCTTTTCCCAGTCATCCGGGGAAAGACCGCAGATTTCAATGATGCTCTCAGTAGCTTGAATGCTTCGCTGCCGTGAGCTATTAATTGCCATAATGGGTCGCACGGCTTCCGCAAAGTATCGTCCCTTGTTCAACGTATCTGGCGTGAGGAAAAGACGCAGAAGTTCTGCAGTATTGCGGCCAGCGCGGTTCAACTCCGGGTCAAGCACATCGTAGCGATACAAACGCTTTTCGCTTGGTGGCGAGAGGCCAAGTCCATCGACACTCATCTGGGAGGGATCTGCGAGGTCCAGTTGTTCACATAAGGACTCTAGCGTCTGAGGCTCTTTGGTATCACCAGCGAGATACACCACTTCACCCCCCTCCAACTCCAGCACCTCCTGAATGTATTCGACTAACCATTGCGGATTCATGATTGAAGAGAGATAGACACCATTGTCAACCTTCGTGCTGTTGGCGAAAACGCCACCACCGCGGCGATAGCGATCCAAATTCTCAATCTCATTGTTGCAGAGCTTGTAGAGATTATACTTTTCTTCCAGCACTTGCAGACGTTGGGAACACGCACGGCGGCAAACAGGGTGCTGCAGTGTGATATACAGCGCCGTGACGTCGTCGTAAAATTGTTCCCACGGCACAATTTGTGTGCATTGACCGC